ATGGATAGGAATTTTGATCATCGGGACACCGGGATATCGGGATAGGGATCGTGATGGCTATGGGGGTATAAGGATATCGGGGTGCAGGGTCGGGATTCGACACACAGTGACATAGGGATAGGGGGGGGGCGGATCGGGATAGGCAAGCCAAAGGGCACTGGGAGGCCACTGGAGGCAGCGGGCGGCAATGGGAGGCAGTGGGGAGACCGCGGGAGGCCACGCGAGGCCACGGGAGGCCACGCCGGGCACCGACCCGAGCGGCAAGGGGAGGCGACGCCGCCCGAGCCGTTTTGGATCTGGCAGCGCACCTGCCAGTCCGCCTTTCTTGTTCATGCAGAAATACATGACCCCGACGGAAGGGCCCCGCATGAGCATCTGTTCGGCTTGCCCTTGGCCCTTCCCTCCTCGCCCTGGCGGACACCCTCCTCTCGCCCTCTGCTCTGCCCTCACCTCCTCCTCCTATTTCTCGTGCTCCTCCTTCTATTTCTCCTCCTCCTCCTCCTTCTCCACCTCCTCATCATCACCCTCTCCCTACCCCTTGCCCGTCCTCATCCTTCCCCTGCTTCTTCACCATGTGCTCCCCCGCATCCCCTTGGTCGGGGCTTGAGACTTCCTGCATCTTCAGGCCCGAGGATCCCAAAAGTGACGACGGTTACAGAATTCGCATGGCCGCGTTCAGATTTCCAGCACGAAGCGCGTGCACCGTAGGGAAGGGGCTCCTGCCTGAGACTTCCTCGCCATTCACTCACAGACAAGGCTCCCGCCTGAGACTTCCTCCGAATTCAGGCCTGAGGAGCCCAAAAGTGACGACAGTTACAGGGTTGATGATGACCCGCTCGGATTACCAACATAAAGCGCGCGCACCATAGGGAAGGGGCTCCAACCTGAGACTTCCTCGCCATTCACTTACAAACGAGGCTGCCGCCCGACACCTCCTATTTATTCAGGCCTCAGGAGCCCAAAAGTGACATTTACAGGGTTGAGGATGACCCGCTCGGATTACCAACATGAAGTGCGGGACGCATAGGGAGGGGGCTCCAACCTGAGACTTCCTCGCAGTTCACTCACAGACGAAGCTCCCGCTTTATACTTCCTCCAAATTCAGGCCTCAGGAGCCAGAGAGTGACGACGGTTACAGGGTTGACGATGACCCGCTCGGAATACCAACCTGAAGTGCGGGACGCATAGGGAGGGGGCTCCCACCTGAGACTTCCTCACAGTTCACTCACGGACGAAGCTCCCGCTTTATACCTCCTCCAGATTCAGGCCTCAGGAGCCAGAAAGTGACGACAGTTACAGGGTTGAGGATGACCCGCTCGGATTACCAACATCAAGTGCGGGACGCATAGGGAGGGGGCTCCCGCCTGAGATTTCCTCACAATTCACTCACAGACATAGCTCCCGCTTGATACTTGCTCCATGTTCAAGCTAGGGAGTGAGCGATGACGAAGTGATGAGTGAGTGAGTGAGTGAGAGATGGTGATGGTGAGTGAGTGGATGACGGTGGTGATGATATGTGAGTGAGTGAGTGGGTGAGTGATCGAGTGATGATGATGATGGTGACCATGATGGTGGGTGTGAGTGTGTGAGTGAGTGGGTGTGGGTGTGAGTGAGTGTGTGAGTGATGACGATGGAGTGAGTGAGTGATGTGGAGAGGGTCGGAGAGGGGGAGTGAGTGTGTGAGTGTGAGTGTGTGAGGGTGTGGTGATGATGCTGCTGATGCTGATGCTGATGCTGATGCTGATGCTGATGCTGATGCTGATGCTGATGCTGATGCTGATGCTGCTGATGATGATGATGCTGATGCTGATGCTGATGCTGATGCTGATGCTGATGATGCTGATGATGATGATGATGCTGATGATGATGATGACGATGACGATGACGATGATGATGATGATGATGATGATGATGATGATGATGATGACGACGATGATGATGATGATGATGATGATGATGATGATGATGATGATGATGATGATGATGATGATGGAGATGATGAGGAGGAGGATTAGGATGAGGATGAGGATGAGGATGAGGATGAAAAGAGGGGGGAGGAGAGATCCTGCGGGGGGGTTGTGCAGAGAGAACGAGAACCCCACTCTGGATGTGGGGAATACTGTGTCGGGATTCTGCAATTTCTGATCGGGATGAGGGGGGGGGGAGAGGGGGATATGGACGGCAATGGGGGACCACGGGATGCGATGGGAGGCCAACGGAGGCGGCGGGCAGAAAAGTGGGGGGCCACGGGGGGACCCCGCGGACGCCACGGGAGACCGCGGGATGCCACACGAGGCCACGGGAGGCCACGCCGGGCACCGACCGGAGAGGCAACGGGAGGCGACGCCGCCCGACCCGTTTTGGACCTGGCAACGCACCTCACGGTTTGTCTTTTTTGTTCCTACATCAATATAGATTATATGCATATGTCTATACTTTCCCCAATCAGTGCTTGCACTGAAGGGGTCCTAGAAGAAGTTGAGAGATTTGGCGAAAGTTTCCCGCCGATTTCGGTAGCAGGCTGGGTTCCCCGGTCCCCGGTTCGGGTTCCCGTGCTCAGGGTTATTGGTTCCGGGCCGATTTCGGTGGGTTTTGGGTTCCCGCGTTCCCGGGCTCCTGGTCGATCTCCTCAGCGAAAACCATCCACTCATTGGGTTTTTCTTCTGGTGTATATATATATATATAGAGAGAGATATACTCATGCACATCTATACACAAATATGTCTATATGAACGTGAATATAGATGAACCATACAGACAAGCTTTTTTCTGAACACCATCAGCATCGGAGTTCTTCGGTCGGCGCTGGGCCCCCCTCTGGCGAAGCCCGCCGGCGCCGACCCTGGGTTCGCTCCGCGCGCCAAGGAGGGGGGGCCCAGCGCCGATCCTCCCAAACCGTGCTGAGCTCGGAATGTTTACTTTGCATTCAGATGTTAATCCTTATACTCGATCCTCGATCCTCGATGTCCCTCGATCCCCGACCCCTGGGAGCTGGAGGTGCAGTTCCAGGATCGGCGGGGATGTCCTCCTTCCTCCCGCTGTTTCCCCCTCCCAGCACCCGAGCCCGAGCCTCGTTCCTCATCCTTTTCCCCCCCTTCATTCCCTCCCCTCCTCCTTGCCGCCTTGGTCCACTCCCCTCCCCTCCCCTCCCCTCTCCTCCCCCCCTCCCCTCCTCCCCTCCCCTCTCCTCCCCTCCCCTCCCCTCCTCCCTCTCCTGCCTCTCCTCCCCTCTCCTCTCCCCTCTCCTCCCCTCCCCTCCTCCTTGCCGCCCTGGTCCGCTCCCCTCTCCTCCCCTCCCCCCCTCCATCCCCCCTCGCCACCGTCTCTGCCGCCATCCGTGCTGCCGGCCGTCTCCTCTGCTCCCGGCTCTTCGGCCTCGCCGCCGGCCGTACAGCGGGGGCCCCTGCCGACGGCACGCCCTGCCTGCCTCCAGGCTGCCCTGGCTTTCCTGGGCTTCGACGGTTTTGCTGTGGAGTCCTCTCGGCCTCGCTCTGAGGCCCCGCCGCTGCCTCCCCCCCCTTATCTGCCTAGTTCGAGCTTCGCGCGGCCCGCTTAGCTTCGACCGGAAGAGGTGCGCTCTCGACCCGCGGATCAAAAAAGGCTTGACGTGGGAGGCGTGACGTTCCCATACCAAAAATCCATGGGCGCCCTGGGGTCTCAGGGTCTGGTCTCCTGTGGAGGGTTCCTCGTGGTCGAGCTCCTACTGCACAGGTCACTCTCTGGGGCGCGAAGACATCCTCCCTTCGTGCGTCGCAGCCTGGGCGCCAGAGCGGCTGCGGCGCGCGGGCGCGACAGCGCCCCGATCGCCGCGGCGTCGCGGACCGCGGGGTGCGAGGCGCGAAGTCAGCCGACCTGGGCTCCCAGAGCTCTCTCCCCCCCCCTGCCCTTCAGGGGCAACGATTTGTGGGGGGGGACAGGCATAGTGGGGAACGCATCGACCCCCAATCGCCAATTGATCGCCGATAGGGGCCCGACAGCCCCGATCTGCCAATGAAGGTGCGGATTCACTATCGATGGCCTATCGCCGATCCATCGGTGGTGTATCGCCGATTCCAGGTCGGCGTTCCCCCTCCCATGCCAGTCCCCCGCTATCGTTGCCACTCATCCCCCCTTCCTCCCAGCAGGCGTGCCCGCCGCTGCCCACAGGGATGCAGCACCGGATGGCCGCCCCGGCCGCTCCGTAGCGGCCCCCGCCGCGTGAGCGCTCTCCGTCCACCCCCCGCCCGCGGCCGCCTCCTCCTCCCCCGACAGTTTGCGATGCCGTGCCGCGGCCTTCCCCGAGCGCGCGTGCGGACCGCCTCTGCCGGGCTGCGACGCACAACGTGTTGGCCGCCGCCCGCCCTCCCGCCGCCTGGGCCGTCCCCGAGATCCGACGCAGCGAAACAATGACAACATCTTGAACATCCGCGCCTGGAGCCCCGGAGCCCATCCTCCCGCGCCGTTTTCCGAGGCGGATCGATCTGCGGGGGCCTTGGGGCCCGAAGCGAGGCGAGCACGCCCGGCTCGAAAACATTTTGCGACGCCGGGAGCTCAGGGGTGTGCCTCGCCCTCGGGTGCGGCCTCTGCGCGCTGGCCCTCCGAGTGTTAGGGGGGGCCCACGCGTTGGGGCCGTCGTCTTCGGCCTCGGCGCTCGGCGGGCTTGCGCACCTCGACGGTCGGGCGTCCGCTCCCTTCGGGCGGCGCGCAGGCCACCCCGGGAGTGGAGCGGTCGTCGTCGTCCGGCCGTCGCGTGCGGAGGAGGAGGAGGAGGAGACAGAGGAGGAGGGGGATGAGGAAGAAGATGAGGAGGAGGGGGAGGAGGGCGAGGAGGAGGAAGAGGAAGAGGAGGAGGAGGAGGACGAGGAGGAGGACGAGGAGGTGGAGAAGGAAAAGGAGGAAAAGGGGGAAGAGGTGGAGGAGGAGGAGGAGGAGGAGGAGGACGAGGAGGAGGGGAAGGAGGAATGAGGATTGGGGAGGAAGAGGGGGGGAGGAAGGGGGTGTCCCCAGAGCGCGCGCCCCAGGTCTTCATGGACTCCAGGCGCCCCTCCGCCCTGGAGCTAACCCTCCGGGGGGCCGGGGCCGCCGCCTCAGGGGCGCGCGGCTGGGGGGTTCGCGGCTGTCCAGGCCGGCGGCGCGTATGCCATCCGCAGAGCGCATTCTGGCAGAGAGGAGAAGGAGGAGGAGGAGGAGGAGGAGGAGAAGGAAGATGAGGAGGTGAGGAGGAGGAGGAGGAGGAGGAGGAGGAGGAGGAGGAGGAGGAGGGAAAGGAGGAGCAGGAGGAGGAGGAGGACGAGGAGGAGGAGGAGTAGGAGGGGGAAGTGGACGAGGAGGACGAGGAGGAGGGGGAGGAGGAGGAGAAAGAAGGAGGAAGAGGAGGTGGAGGAGGAGGAGGTGGAGGAGGAGGAGGCGCTGGCGGGGGTTAGATACGCATTCTCCGCAGATCCGGCGCCTGCGCGCCAGCTCCTTGGATTGTGTGTTCTGTGTACCCGAGTAGGGAATCCCTGATATCCGATGTCACGAGAAATGCAACATCGCAAACAACCACGACAAGAGCCCTGGACCCTAGCTTCCTGCGCGATTGTCCGGGCGGGATCGATCTGTTCTGGCCCACGGGACCGAATCATCGCGAAAGCGCCCGGCTCGAACAATTGGGACGCCAGGATCTCAGGGTTGAGGTTCCAAGTTCGACCGGTGGCGCCGTGGCGCCAAACCTCAGATGTTTTCGGGAGGTCCTCCCCTCCGCCTCTGAGTGCCCCCCCTCCTGGCTCCCCCGTCGCCGCCGCCCTGTCTGTCCCAGTCTCTCCTCCTGCACGCTGGGCAAGTCGCTCTTCGCTAGCGCCTTTTTTGCCCGACCGCTGGCGCCGCAGCTCCTGCCTCCCCGCCGGCGCCACCAGACTGTTCGGCAGGCCGTTCCCTTGGCTTGGCATCGCTCGGACGTGTGCGTTTTTTTTTTCTCGGCGAGAACCATCGAGAAGCATCCTGGAGCATCGAGCAAAAACACACACGCTCGAAACCGAAAAATGCACGGGACAGTGACGTCCGAGCGATGGCAAGTTGGAGGTCCTCTCGCCCGGGGCTGCTCTCCCTCGAGCAGCGGCGCCCCGCCGCGGGCGAGAGGTTTCGGGGGCCCGCGCCTGGAGCAGCCCGACTGGCCGCGGGGGGGCCGAGTTGGGACACCGAGTCAAGACGTAAAGTCGGGAGTGTCCCGCTGCCGGGGGAATTTCCAAAGACAGCAATACAGCAGTCTGGTATCGATTTGTTATTGTCTACTTGTGACCCTTTGTTCCAGAGAAAACGATGTTTCGTGTCCCTTCCCAAATATCCGCCTGTCGGGGGACACGCCCGACCTAAATCAAGACGGATTGTGCCTGTTGTTTTTGAGGTGATTTATTATGCAAGGTTCGGCGAATTCAATGGCATAGCTAAGACGAAGCCAGGACAAGAGTAACATCAGGTGAGGAAATTATTTTGCTTCGAGCGGTCTCCACCGAAACCTGAAGCGTTTTGATCACGATGGCGCGCGGTCGCCTAATTGGTCGACAACTGCCGTTTCTGGATTCAACAAACGGTTCAACCGTGTTCCATGTAGTCACGTTTTCGTTTTTTTTTAATGTCGTGCTCTATTATGTCCTGTTATGTTATCGGCGGGCTGGCGTGACGTCGTGACGCCTGTGACGTCCGATACGTCGTCTGTTATGATGGTCCTCTTCACTTATGTTTCTCGTCTCATTGAGCCTGTTGTGCCATGCTCATCTCTGTCATCATATAAGTTGAACGCTATGGTATGGCATGATATGCTATGTCCGGCTATGTTCTAGATGCTTTGTTCAGTGATGTTGCTGCCAGCTCGGTTCAGTATAGTATAGCCTGGCGTGACCTGCTAGTATGTGTCACTATGCTCTGCTGTCGTGTTCTGCTGGCTTTCCCTTGAGTGCTGCCCCGCAGAGCAGTCAGACAGCAATGCAGCACCCGAGCGGTCAGCCCGGCAATCGGGCAAGACCCTGTCGGCGAGCACCTGGCGCTTTGCGTCAGCCAGAGTTGTGTCTCTCTCGCTGCGGCGCGAAAGGCCACCAAGGCACGAAGCGAGCCGCAGAAGTGGGCACTGCGCCTGATGGGCACTCAGATCTCGCTCGTCGCTCGTTGAGTCAGAGAAGGGGAGGTGGGAGGGCGGGATGAGGAGCCGAAGAGGGAGGAAGGGGAGAGGGGAGGGGAGGAAGGAGGGTTGGACAGATCCGCAGAACAACAGCTTTTGGAAGTCCGCTCGGTTTTCCTGTATCGGTGCTGGAACCCAGGAGCGCTCCGCGCGCAGAGGGTGAGGTCTAGCAACAACTCAGCACGGACCTCCTCCGAAAGCTGATGTTTTTGCCAAGTTGCTCCCTCTGAGGAAGGGTGTGGATTCGTATGCATTGTTGGACTCCCGTTCTCCTCACAGTGCTGCTCACGCTGGCACTCCCGCGCAATCTCACCCCCCAAAGTGCACCCCGACGAGAGCGCGCGTGCCCGCGCCCGAGCGGCACCGAGGTCACCACCCTGCCGCCAGAGCAGACGCCCAGCGGTGGCCGCTGACGGCCGGGGCCTCAGCGGGCGGACGAGGAGGAGCCTGCCCGACGTCGGCTGGCTTATCACCACGACGCTGGAATGAGGCACAGAGCAGGTCTGGAAGGGGCCCCCTGTTCCTGAGGTCCTTCCAGGCTTGTTACTTGTTCCTCGAGCGCTCCTCGTGCCCCCAAGCCCTGCTGGGGCCAAATACTTGGCTTTGCTCCCCATCTAGCCTTCCTCACGGCAGTCGCAGGTTTGCACGCGTCGTGCCATGGGCTCCTTCTCCTTCGTCCTCTCCTCCAGAGCGCCTCTTCTGCCCCATCCCTCCCGCACGGCGTGCTCTCCGGGTGCCCCCCGGCACATCACTGCTGCGCTTCGCCCAGCTGGGCCCCTTCTTGCCGGGCAGCCCGATGGAGGTGCGATGGCCTTGTTGCCTGGAGGCCCGCCACCAGGACCAGAAACCGGCGGCCACTTGCGGCCTGCCGCAGGCCCTCCATGCGGCCGTCGGAGGCCTGCATCGCCGGCCTGTCGACGAGGCCTTCTGGCGGCCTGTCGGCGAGGCCTTCCGCCGGCCACTGGCGGGGCGGCCTGTCCTCGAGGCCTCCAGGTGGCTCCTTAGGCCGCGTGCTGCTTGCCGCCGCGCGCAGGCGGCGAGGAGGCCATGGCCGCGGGCTCTCGTCCAGCCATGGCCGCGGGCTCTGGTCCACCACGCCCCGGCGCGACACGCTGACTCGCGCTGACTTTTTCCGCCCCCGAGCATCAACTCCCCGATTCTGTCCCAGCCTCCTGCATCAACGCCCCGATTCTGTCCCGCTCGGCGAAGCCAGGCGACACGCTATCCGCTCGCAGGACACGCCGTGTCGCCGTGGGCGCCGTCGCAGCACCGCCAAGCTGAAGTTCCCGGCCGCAGATGTTCGTCCCGGACCCATGCTCGGGGCCAGTATCGGGGCCCCGGACGCCGAAATCGAGGGAAGGACGCCCAAACTGAAATTATGTAGTTTCGCTTGGCCCTCGCCCAGATCGCGGGGGCGGCCAAGAGGGGGGTGCTGACTAGAGGGGGGGACATCATGGGTGGGGCCATGGGATTTCCCCAGATCTCAGGGCGCCTCTTTTCTTATCTCATTATGTCCCCGCCCCCCCACCCCTGGGCCGCGCACGTGCCGCTGGCCAGATTTGCGCCCCCCCTCTTGGAATCGCCGAGCGCGTTCCGCTGCTCGCAGAGACCCTATTCGTAAACGTCCGAACAACAACACTTCTTCTTATAGCCTGAATGCAGTGGATCGTACATCCCCTGTGGCGGATCCAGGCCGTTTGCGAGCAGCTACTTTGCGAATAGTGGAACACGCCTGTCTATGGACGCCCCCCTCTTGGACTCTCGGCCTCCCAGCTGGGGTCGGAGTAGATGGGGTCGGAGGATCGTCCCGCATCGGCGATGCATCGGCGATGCATCGGCGATGCGGCTCGATGTGGGGCCCGAGTTTCTCCACGCCGACGTCGCCGACGTCTCGCCGACGCCCCCGGTGCACGGCCGATGCATCGCCGATGCATTGCCGATCTATTGGCGATGCGGCGAGATCCTCCGACCCCATCTGTCACCACTCACCAAACCACCCCAACCCAACCCGAAGGCCTCAATTTGCCATCCATTTCCAGTGGGGGGGGGGGGTCGGGGAACACTGTAAAAACACATGGAACCCCCCCCCCCCCCCAACCCGAAAGTCGATTCAAATTCGGGTCTTCGGGTTGGGTTGGGGTGGTCTGGTAGGTAGTCAATCTGGGAGGCCTCTATGGGCGCCATCGCCCCCCTCGAAGAGCGCGGGGCAGGATCCCCGGGAGAGCCCCCCGGTGGGCCCCTCGGGGCCTGGCGCCCCGGGGTGCGGTCGCCCCTCGTCGAGGGCGCGGGGGGCAGGGGCCTTGGGGCCCGGCGGCCGCGGCACGTGCGGGGAGTGCGGGGGGGTCGACCCCAACTCAGGGTGCAACTCTCCTCCTCCTCCTCCTCCTCCTCCTCCTCCTCCTCCTCCTCCTCCTCCTCCTCCTCCTCCTGCTCCTCCCCCTCCTCCTCCTCCTCCTCCTCCTCCTCCTGCTCCTGCTCCTCCCCCTCCTCCACCCTCTCTCCTCCTCCTCCTCCTCCTCCTCCTCCTCCTCCTCCTCCCTCCTCACTGCTACTCCTCCTCCTCCTCCTCCTCCTCCTCCTCCTCCTCACTCCTCACTCCTCCGTCCTCGCTACTCCTCCTCCTCCTCCTCACTCCTCACTCCTCCCTCCTCGCTCCTCCTCCTCGTCCTCCTCACTGCTCCTCCCTGGGAGGCTTCATTCTCGCTCCGGCGCTGGCATATCTATGGCTGAGAGTTGGGACACTCTGGCTTCATGCCGATGAATTCCGCTTCGTCCCCTGCGCTCCAGCCCACTCCGTTTTGTTCCCGGGCTCCGTTCGGGCTAATTGGTGGATCCCTCATTTGGCGCGATACAGCCCTTCATCATCATTGCGAAGGCCTCCCAGGAGATGCCTCTGTCTTCAATTCAACCTGTCGTGTGGGGAAAGTCGTGTCGTCGGAAACCTTCGGGGCAACGATCGGCGGGGATAGGCTCAGGGGAAAACATCGAGCTGGAATCGTCAATGCATCGCCGATAGATCGGCGATAATCAGGCCCCCGATAGCGATTCCGCAAGTTCGTGGGCGGGCTGGGCTACCATCGAAGAAAGAAAGCGGCACAAACATTTTTTTTTTCTGAAGCGCGGATTTCTTGGATCTGCGCTGGGCCCCCTGGCGGCGCCTCCGGCGCAGCCCCTGGTGCGCTCCGCGCGCCAATGAGCAGGGTCCAGCGCCGATCAAAGAAGTCAGCACGGGTCTCTGATGAAAGTTTTGGGTTCCGCTATGCCAGGCCCCTATCGGCGATGTATCGCCGATTCAAGCTCGATGGTTTTCGGATGTAACTCCTGGGAGATCAAATTCCGATTTTGCCCTGGTCCGATATCCAGCTTAATCCAGTTTGATCCCGCTTAATCTGGCTTATTCCCGCTTATTCCCGCTTGATCCAATTTAATCCCGTTTAATCCGAAGCCCACTCCTGCGTAGCAGCCCCCCAATGGGGTTTAATCTTCCTTAATCCTTCCGACGAAGCCCTCTCAGCAGTTGCCTCCTAAGTGGTTCCCCCCCCCTGAGCCTATCCCCCCCGAGCGTTGCCCCCTGGTGTGGGGCGTCATAACTCGGGCCTCCAGCGGCCGTTCGCGACGACCTTGGCACCCCTGGAACGCCCTCGGCGAGGCGCAGCTGCTGGAGCGCACCCCGAGCCTCGCCCGCAACGTCCTCGCCCGGAGTCCGGAGGCCCGAAGCGTCCTCGCCCGGAGCGATGCCCGCCCCACGACCGGCGCCCCAGCACCTCGAGCCCGAAGCGTCCGCGCCCGGAGCGATGCCCCCCCCCGTCGACCGTGGGCCTGCCCCCTGCCGGCGCCGAGGCCCCCCGCACCCCGGCAGCGCGGCCGCGCTCCGAGAGAGAGAGAGCCGCGCGTGGCGCCGCGCGCGGCGGCGGAGCGCGCGCGCGCGCCGCGGGCGGCGCTCCGTGGCAGCCCCGCCAGCGAGAAAAGCAGCCCTGGCGCGCGGAGGGTCCGGGAGCGCCTCGGCGTGCGGGCAGGCCTGGCCTCACGTCGGGCCTGTCCCCCTGCAGGGGGATTGTGGCAGAAGAATTAAGAATACCCAAAACATGTTCCCGGAATGCTAGAAAATCTTTCCCTCGCTACTTTCGGACTACTATTGAATATTTCCCCTGTAGAGGGACAGGCACGACTCAAGCCTGGCCCTCGAGGGAGAATCGCAGGAGCGGGCGGCGCGGGCAAGACTGATATCCAGGGGGCGTCCTGGACCTGCCTTTCAGTCGGGCCTGTCCCTCTGCAGGGGGAATCTCCTAAAACAGTCCAAACATCGTCTGGGGACTTTTTTTTGATTATGTTTTAATGATTGTTTTTTGTCCTTTAATATTTTAAATTTTTCGCCCAAAATCCCCCCGTAAGGGGGACATGCCCGACCTAAGCCTGCCTGGATGGGGGCGCCGCGAGGCCGAGGCGCGCTCGATCGGCGGCGGGCCCGCGGGGGGAGATGGAGGAGCCTCGAGCAGTGGCGAGGCGTCCCGCGGCTCGCCTGCAGCCCTACCGAGCAGTGTTCTAAGAACTGTCTGCGGCTTCCACGACGTGCTCTTAGGTCGACTAGACGTAAGAGTGACCTTTCGCCGGAGTGACCTTTGGTGGGGGCACAGATGGGTCCCCAGATGGCGGAAAACGAAGCGGTCGCAGCGGCTGGCGCGCCCAGGTTTGGTCCCCCCGCGACCCCCCAGAAGCCGCGCACCAAAGGTCACTCTTACCCAGGGTCACTTCTTGCGTTTAGCCGATTAGGACATGTCTGGCGGGGTCTGTCTTGATTTATCACATGGGGTTTATGTTCTAAGAACATGGGGTTTATGTTCTAAGAACCTTGCTTTTGTTATTACAGCACTTTGGGATTATGAGAACATGTCGTGGTAGGACTGTAGGAATGCTGGGGCGGTCGGTACCTGCTGAAAGGAGGGGCGGGCTTTCCTCAGGAGGTTCGAAAAGTCCTCTGGCCTTTGAGAAGTTTTTGGTCCACCGAGCGCGTTCCACTACTCGCAAACTGCCTATTCGCCAACGTCCGAAAACATATGTTTGTTTCGACGAAATTTGCCGTAGATCCCCCGCGGCGGATCCAGGCCATTTGCGAGTAGTTACTTTGCGAATAGTGGAACGCGCTCGTCTAATCTAGGCCCTCCCCGAAGACACAGACTTGTCAGAAGGCCGGGGGGCTTCCGCGAAGCCCCGCCTCCTTCTGAGAAGGCCTTCTCCTGCTCACCTCGCCCCCTTGCTCGCTGCCGACTCGACGGAGGGTCGGAGGGACAGGCGGTCATGACGATGCCTGGCAGCTGTTCCTCGTCGTCCCCTCGGTGATGGAGCAGCTACGCGGAACATTCCAGAATCCCTGAACCCAAACATATTGTCATCTATTGGGGACGCGTTCTTCCAA